TTGCAAATATAATCTGGCTGGTGCTTTCTTACCAGATAATTGAAAAAAAAAATAATTCTACCTTTCGGTCAATCTAGCGCCTTTGCAGGGCGGTCCCTTGATGCCGGGGAAAGTCCCTTGATGCCGGGGAAGGTCCCTTGATGCCGGGGAAGGTCCCTTGATGCCGGGGAAGGTCCCTTGATGCCGGGGAAGATCCGTAGATGCCGGGGAAGGGCCGTTGATGCCGGGGAAGGTCCGTTGATGCCTGGGAAGGTCCCTTGATGCAGGGGAAGGTCCCTTGATGCCTGGGAAGGTCCCTTGATGCCGGGGAAGGTCCCTTGATGCCGGGGAAGGTCCCTTGATGCCGGGGAAGGTACCTTGATGCAGGGGAAGGTCCCTTGATGCCGGAGAAGGTCCCTTGATGCCGGGGAAGGTCCCTTGATACCGGGGAAGGTCTATTGATTCATATTAATAATAGAGTAAGATATAAATATTGGTCAATTAGCACAGTTTACCTGTCTAGTGTTAAGTAGTCTTGAAGTATTAGGTTAAGTCTGCCCGAAATGCTTCAGCATTATAGTGCCTTTCTTTGTACCAATCAAATTATGAAATGTAAACACACAGTGTAACCTTTGTAAACAAATAAACTTTTGTATTTGTATTAAGATTAGGACACCAATGGAAATAAGTCACTGACCTTTTTTTTTTTGGGGGGGGGGGAGGTTATCCAAGGTTGTTTACACATATGGTGTTATGTATGATAATATATGTAACTGTATTTGTGTATACCTGAATAAACATACTTAGCTAAGGTTGGTCAATAAACAGAACAAGTGCTTCCTGACTCTGGTCTTGGTCATATGATTACCCACAGCTGGAGCTTTTGGTCATCTGACCGAGGACTTCCGCTGGCTTACCCCTCCACTTCTTTAAGAATTATGGTTATGATAATTATTTTGTCTTGATTCAGCCCTTGTGGTTTAGCGCTTCTTTATTATTATAATAATAATTGTCTTGATTCAAGGAACTGGAGCTTCATGTGGACAAATATGATAGTACGGTATAAAGCTTAGTAATTGATTCCAACATCCCATAACGGAGATAAAACACCTCAATTACTGGGAGCGCTTGAGGTTCCTGAACCTGTATTCCCTGGAACGCAGGCGGGAGAGATACATGATTATATACACCTGGAAAATCCTAGAGGGACTAGTACCGAACTTGCACACGAAAATCACTCGCTACGAAAGCAAAAGACTTGGCAGACGATGCAACATCCCCCCAATGAAAAGCAGAGGTGTCACTAGCACGTTAAGAGACCATACAATAAGTGTCAGGGGCCCGAGACTGTTCAACTGCCTCCCAGCATACATAAGGGGGATTACCAACAGACCCCTGGCAGTCTTCAAGCTGGCACTGGACAAGCACCTAAAGTCGGTTCCTGACCAGCCGGGCTGTGGCTCGTACGTTGGTTTGCGTGCAGCCAGCAGCAACAGCCTGGTTGATCAGGCTCTGATCCACCAGGAGGCCTGGTCACAGAACGGGCCGCGGGGGCGTTGACCCCCGGAACTCTCTCCAGGTAAACTCTAGGTACATAACTGGTCCAGGGACTGGACTCCAAAGTTTTGATAGCTGAGCAAATTACAGAGGTAATGAGCTCACAATTTACAAAGGTAATGAACTCACAATTTACAAAGGTAATGAACTCACAATTTACAAAGGCAATGAACTCCAGGTAGGTCTAGTCACAATCATGACAAGTTACAAAGGTATTTTATAGATTACAGAGGTACGTAATGGGTCCAGGGACTGGGCCCCCAAAGTTTTGATAGCTGAACTAGGTAAAGGTAATGAACTCACAAGTTACAAAGGTAATGAACCCTGTAAGAATGGTTACTTACGTTTATACATGGGTACAATCATGAACGAATTATAGAGTAATGAGCAATTCACACTTCCACACACGGCCACAATTGTAATGAGTTATTGTACCTTTCCAACTTGACATATTTTACATTATTATCCCCTTAAGGTCAGTTCCTTGACTCCAGTAAGGGGCTTTTGATCCAAAAAATTGTATTTGCTCTCCCCTTCCTCGGATTGAACCTTATTTCCTGCCATTCCTCCAGGTGTTGTATTGCCTCTACGAGTTTAGTGCTCCTCCATGAATATACTAATCTACAGTGTGAGTCTGTATATGTAATCTCACGATGATTTCTGTGGTTTTTGTTAGATTTAAGAGAGTTACCCAGTTTTGTCTCGTTTTTTATGAGAGGCAAACTTGCCTGATTACGTTTTCTGTGAATATTTGAAGGTTAACTATGGCAATTACAAATGAATTAAGATTGTATTTAATAATAATAACAATGTTTATTTCAGCATGATACAATGTTTGTACAAAGAATAAAGACATTTAGGTGTACATGCAAAAAGCCCCTATATATACAAAGCATTTCGGGCAAACTTAAGATTAACAAGGCCTAATAAGTAAGTTTATTTAGGTACAGGTACACAAATACAG